CCCCCCCCCCCCCCCCCTCTCCCTCCCCAGCAAAGTCAAGGACACGGAAAATAGTTTTCCAGCAAATTATACAACTGCTTAGACCAGCAAAGAGATTTCAAGAAAACGATCCGACGGCGATTCTGAATAAAGCAATACCGGTAAGAAAGGACGGCAGTAAGCGTGCAAGCAATGATAACCATAGCGTGATGGCTGGAAGCGCCAATACCATTTGAATGATCCGAGGATGGAAGTTTACGCACTAGGTGCTACTGGGAACCCATTTAATCCATATAAACACAAAATCATGGCAAAATAACCAGCCCTTTGAATTTCATTGGTGACATTTTATATCAAACATTCGATAGGATTAAGTAGTCATAAAAAAATAGAAATTCAAATGATGCATTTCAACTCCAAATTAATTATCTAAAAAGAGAGCAAATTAAAAGAAAAATCACGTAGTCTTGGAGTAGTTCTGTAGTGGAGTAGGGACCTGAAGGTAGTTCTTGTTCAACCAGGTGCTGATTTTGTTTAAAAAAAGCTAATATCAACGAAAAACCAAACCAAGTAGCCCCTAGGCTCATCAGGAGCTATGAACTTTCCTACTCTGGAAATTGAAGAAGCAGGAATCATTATATAGCCGCTTAGTGTTTCAATAGGGTAGCCCGTTTAGAAAGAAAAAGTCGCTGAGAAATTGTACCAGGGAGTCTGGGATTAGAAGCTTGATTAACGACCCTACCATAAAAGATGCTAAGCAGGGATACGCATGATTGGAGTGAAAAAGAATATTTACTATTCTACAAATTTACCTGTCCCTCAAGTCAAATCAAAGTGGAAAGTACTGTAGTAAACTACTTCTTGTAGTCTTTGACTAAATGGCAAAATACGAGCACTTCGTTCCCAAATGGTCGGAATTCCCTGGCTCTGGAGTTTCTACCTCTTGAAGGCAGTTTAGACAGCGATTCTGCACAACAAGTGAAGGAGATGTGAGGCATTGCTCTCGATCTGCACAAGATTCTAATCTAGTTATCTAGCCATGTCATTCATTCCCGTTGCCCCTGGTGATCAGACAAAACCCTCCAGAAGAAAATTCTGATCGTATTCAATCTTGTGCTTGGAAGAGTTCCTTGCGGTGGTTGGAACAAGATATGCTTCATCCAGTGAAGGGGCAGTTTCCGCAAGGCAGGTGATACTGAAAACCATAACGGGCTGGCAGATGAGAAATGAGAAAAAACGTCAAACCACATATGACTATGAGAAAACAATGGATGGATATATCATTTTTAGTCGATTTTGAGGTTCATCAGTTTAGAACTGCACAAGTAGGTCCCGACGATCTGCCAGTGGCAGGAAGATTTAAATGCCGCAAAATGTGTCTCATAGAATGCGTCGCCGCCCCGTTTGTCGTCGTTTCGGAACCTAACCCCAATGAGCGGCTTTTATTGCCTTACTACATTCTCTGTTTCAACCTCCAGAACATCTG